AAAAAGAAAAAGAAAGGTAATGGCAAGTAAACGAAGAGTGAAATTTGAAGGATTCCACGACGAGGGTGAATAGAATGTCCGTCTCAGTGGCGACCGAAGAATGTCAGGGTGCTGATGGGATACTTTACGTTGTCGATCGTCAAACCAATAGATCGAACAGTGTTTTAAGGGGAGAGAGCGATACACTCTAACCGGGAAGGGCACACTTCAAAAACCACACAACTTCCGGGGGTGGGAACAGGACGTGGACAGGTCTTCAGAAATGAAAAAGAATCGGAGGGGAAAAAAGGAAAAAGAGAAGAATCCAAACTTCTTTAATTTTTTTCCTCCTTATTTTCCCATGTAAGGACCAGCCTAAGATTGAGACCGAAAGGAAATGATATACGGGGGGAATGGAAAGATTTGGGGGGGGGAACGAACTTGGGACTGGGAGTCGAAAGTTCGGTGGGAGGGCAGCACGCGGAGGGGGATCAATCACTTTCACTGTCAACTCACGTTTTCCTACTGACATGGTGAGCCTGAGCCAGGGGGCAGTCAATCAGCGTTCAGCGGTCATCCTTAGTCACTTCCACTGGTGCAGCTTTAGTGAGCTAGGTGGGCACCGCCAAATCCACGGGGTTAATCCCGACCACGCTTCAGAATAATGATGGAAGCCACTAAAAATATAGTTCTTTTCAGAATCATAGTAAAAATACATTTAAGACAGGTATCAGGCCAACCACCTGTCATAGAACAGGACACAAGAGACTATGAGAAAGAATTTATAGAAACTTGAATCGTTCTGATTTAACCCAAGTGCATGCCTCATCCCTCAACCTTAATATGGAGAAGTCCAGTTATAATTCTGGTTTGATATCAGTACAATTATTCGGGACTGAGGGTATATCAATATTGAATAGAGAGGTAGTCGCATTTCATTCCTCCTGTTGCTGCTACCAACTTTTTTTATTCCTCTTTTTTTGCTTTTGTTTTTTTACCAGTAAGGGTTTTCAACGTCTTAAGTATTATTGCTGGAATTACTATTACCACATACCACATCATTGGAGCCCACCCAGCCGGATGCCTGGGGCAGCCGCCGGATGTCCACACCAGGAATGGAATTTATACTCTTAACAATCGTCCGACACCTTGGAAGGGGGTCCTGTACAATCTCAATGGGAATTTTAATTTAACAACAATCTAGTCGTGACGATGTAACCACCTCATCAAATGATTCAATTTCCTTCAGCCACAATTAATATATGGATCTTTGTAGTCCCAAGAAGGCGATCCAGACTGGGTGCTCAATAGTACAATTCCTATTTAATTTAATCCAATGAGACCTCTAATCTCATCTGGCTTTCCTTTGTGTCAAGAAGACTTGCTAAAGTTACTAGGCAGAAACATATCGATATATGTCGTTTCATTGTCTCTCTGTCTGAGTCTCTCACTCCTGAGCCCCGCGCTTGTCCAATTTCTCTTTCATCGGTTTTTGGGTCCTGTCCAACGGCTCTCAGTCTCTCTCAGCGAATGGACCGAGTTTCATGCGAGAGTCCCGGCACGTGTGCCGGGCCTCCAATTGAAACATTAAGGAACCGGCCCACTTTTGGCGGACAATCAAAACTTTCTTCCTGTCAACGGGTGAACTGTTCTTGACTATATTGTCTAGTCTAGTCTCGCTTATGATTGTTTAGTCTAGTCAGTATTCAGCTGCCGCGGGAATTATCACAACCAGCAATGCTCAATTTTTACTCAACTTGGTCAGGCGCAAGCCCGGGCCCCGCCGAGTCGTCCTCAAAACGGATCATTATTCCGCTCCGCACGCCTGCAGATGAAGAATGTGTGTCTTAGACATAAAAATCCTGTATTTTTAGTCCCCAGCGCTGCATAAGATCGGCGTATAAGTACTCCTCTCTTGGCCTGCTCTGGCAAGGCAAGGAAGGATCCCCCCCCCCCCAGTTCTAAGTTTGGACCGACGGCGCTGCCGGTCTTTCGAATACAAGTTCCGAGCTGAATAAGGTGGAAAATCAGCGCCATTCAGCTTGCTCCTTCTCCTGCTTGCCAAATCTAGATCATGATCAGGCACTGTTCACTTGTTGACCCATGGGTGACTACCAAAGTCTAACCCGGTCTGGGCGGTTATAGGAGTATGTCCTCAAAGAAAGACAAAGCGGGAACTAAGCCACTGGGGTGATACGACGTTTTCCCAAGCTCTGTGCGTGGACGTGACGGACTCGATTTGACCGGCCAAAGATAGACCTTGTTGGCGAGGGCTGCTTGTCATCTGTCCAAAAAAAATTCCAAAATTGACTTCCAGGCGTGAAAAGCGACGTCTGTATAAGTCGGGCTGTCGCAAAACCAATCAAGGGCAGGAGTATGTGTCGATAGTCAGTAATAGATCTGACCAACTCCAAGATATCCGCTAAGCAAATTCAACAGCCACGTCGACTTACAATTGTCGCTCAATATGCATGTAAGGTCGTAGGCAGCTTGATGCATGTGGTCGTTAGTACCTTGGGTACGTCAGCATCCGTAGTACTACTGCATATTGCATGTCATCCAATAATAGCCGGATCATCACAACAATTGTTTTGGGATCTGACATAGAACCCTTGATTCTTCCGATAGGTCCGGCATCCTTCTATAACGAGGACATACCCCTCGAGATTCAAGAACTGGCTTTCCGCTAGTGGTCGTATAAGTAGGAAGCCCACCTTACCTACAGGTACCTATGACACTGCAGCAAACTCGCGATGAGATTATGATTGGTGAATGGAGACCGTACTTTCAGGCTAAGTGCAGGGGGCCTGAGGACACATCTCCCTTCCACCTTGGCGATATCCGAGTTCCTGGCTAAATACAGTCTTGCAGATCATGTGCTTAGGAAGAACTTGAGGTCATTGTCAATAAAAAGGAGCATCAGGGACTGACATGTTAAATAAGTACCTGGGGGAAGGCGAGTCCATCTCTTATTTTCCATACACAATTTAGCATAACGTCCCAACATCTAAAGTTGTCATATGGGTATCAGCGAGGTGCGTTCGGACTCAGGATCAGAGTGACCAGTGGCCTATATTCGCAAGTCAGGCCGCGGCGTAAGATTTCTGGATACGCATCACGAAAATCTAGAGTATGTAAAGCAAATAAGTGATGTAGCAGTGAAACACAGACTGAAGGCCTTGTTGCCAATATTTCACCTGGCCCTCAGCCTTCTGCGTCAGATACCACGTCACCTCTAGAAAATTTTTCAGGTCCATGCTGACTGGCATGTAATGTACCCAAGGGACCAACCAATCATTATGCAATTTTTCGTACCTGGTTTGCTCTAGAACAATCGGGTTGGAGTACAAGAGACAATAGAAGCGACCGCTGAAACCACTTCCGTGGAAGTCGGAACTATATCGCGATTTGTAGCTTGCGTTCTACATATTAGCCCTCGATTTCAAAAGTGGCTTGCTTTCCTTGCATGCATCCAGACCACAATAGCTAACTACTAAGATCCCGTTGAAGCTATGTACCGTCATCGTGAAGCTTATGGCATCCAATTTAACGTTGATATTATCTTTAATATTCGGAAGTCTTTTCAAAAAAAAAAAAAGTATCTGGTGTAGTGATATCTGTGGCTATAAAAGCCCGTTAATTTGATCAGTGTCATTGCACAAGATGTGTCTGCCATGTGAGTTCCAAATGATATCTCTGTTTAAACTATATGATGGACATAAACCGTCTTGAAGTGTTTTTTGATCAGCGATCCTGCATCAATGGCTTCTTGGGAAAACAATCGCACATCGTTATGATTTTTGAAACCCTCTTTTCAGATGAACCAATACGGTGTCAATTGGCTGCAACAGTAAAAGCATTCTGATACATAACAGTATCAATGTTTGCGAACTTGCTTCAGGACAAAGTAAAAACGCTGTATACATACGTGTTGTACACCGCCTCTCTGTACAAGTCGGCCAAGATTGTCAATAAATTAGATTTCGGCGCTAGTCAGATGGCAGCATTGCTGAGGTATTGCTTCTTAAATGTATCCTGTCATCATCGCTTTTATGGTGTTTGAGAACGATGCTCTCTCCATATACCGACTTATCGTAGTGCTCGAGTATGGTGAATTCGGAGAGGTACCTGAGAGGCATTGGGGGCAGACAGACTATTGGATTTCTCCTGGTAGTCCTGGGACTCTGAAAAGAAAAGAAAAGAAAAGAAAACTTGTTTAAATCATTTACAGTGTCCACAAAGGATCGAGTATTGGCTATATTACATACGTCGTACGTTTTAAGAAAAAGGTGGTTATGCTTTACAATATATCATTTATCCTTGAACTTCACCCCGTTTTTGATATACCTGGAACTCGCAAACAGTGTCATAACAACGGTTTTGCGGACAGTACTTGTGAGCCTATAACAGCGAGCTCCGCGCCAAGGCTAGTCAGCTTCCAGCTCATGCGCATTGCCGATACCGTGCCCAGCAAGTTCTCTTGCTGGCGCTGTGTCTTCTAACTCCCGTGGTTGGCTTCCCGCTGGTACGACGGCCTTGACTTCCTGAATATGCTCGTTGCCGCTTGCCCTTTACCGACGCCGCCTCCTGACAAGGAAGAAGATAAATAGCATGGTAGCTACCGCTCCACCAACCCCTCCAACTATTACCCCGATGGCTGTCTTATTCCCATTGTCATTATCAAGATACAGCGTAGGTGTCGCAGGCATCATAGGAGGTGATGATAGCATATTCTGTCCCAGTTGACTGTATAGTGCGGGAGCTGCCCACTTTGAGCGGGTGTAGCTTCAATGTCCCTTGAAGCTGTAAGAGGGATTATGCTGGCATGTAATTCCGGCTTTAATCTACCATTAGTCGGTGAAAAAGATCGGGATATTGTAGGTCAGGTATATACTCACATCAAATGTTGGTGGGCTATTCTCTAGCTGAGCATCGTACAGGGATGCGGGCATGCTAAAAGAGCCAGCTCACTCAACAACACACCAGTTTCTCCTTCCGCAAACCCTAAACATCAGGCTTCCCTAGGCTTCATATACATGAGACATACGCTCATGGTCAAGGCTTCTTGCATGATACCATTTGACTGGCGGGATAGACAGATCTGATCGACACGTAGAAGTTAGCATCCTGAAGAGACTAGTAGGATATATCCATACATATCAGAATACTGGCCATAAGATATAACAACTGTTCCGCCTAATGTATAAGTCTTACACGCGGTAGAGGGCGCGTCATGCTGCACAATGGCACAGAATTCCGTTTTCCTTTGTACGACAGTGTCCAAAGTGCGGCGGTTGAACCATTTACGCGCAGAAACATCGTATACTTGGGCATAGTTCCAGCTATTCTAAGCTCTCATTAGAACCAATGGAATTATTTAATGAATTTGGAGCACTTACTGAAGTATATGTTGCATTAGACTCACTGACGACAGAAGGCACTTCACCACCAATGAATATTAAGATTCCCACCTCCTCAATAAGCAAATATACCAAGGCTTTAATTCGTACCGCCTTGAAAGGTGAATCCAAATGCCTCAACTCTCCCGCTATGATTAGTATGGAGTTGTATCGCACCCGGCGAGTGCGTCTGGCGCTTCCTCTTGAACGGTTGGGTTCTTCTGGTGCAGTTCTTAACCTGCCCCATTGCCGACTGCAAATTCTTGAAAAGATTTAGCTGCACAAGGCATTGTCTGTTAAGGTATCTTAATTATTGGCAGTAGTTATCGCAGAGGTATCTAGTACTTGAGTGCCATCATCCGATAAAGCACACCCGTCTAGGCCGTCAAAACACAGAACATCATCGACAATCTCAACTAGATCGAGTCGATTGATCCCACAATGAGATTGTAACGTCCATCGCCAAGTGCCTACCTCCAAAATCCCAACCTCGACAATACTCCCAGACAGATCCTCGGGTGCCTCTGCTACTGCTAGATACACACAGAGACAGATGAGTAGAATCAGATTTATGAGGATTGCCATTCCGAGAGTGTCGCAACAATGCAATCTCCGATCTGATGGTCCCCTAATACCGTTATCGAAGTGGACTGTCTGGTAGAGCCCAGCCACTTTGGGTCTCTTTTTCTTGATATTCTAAAAGAGTAAGATGACCACGCGGGGATAGGGAAAAAAAAATTTTTTACATTGGCGTCCGAGTGGGCGCGGTGTATATTCATTTGTAAATCTGACGACAAGACAGATAAATGACTAGCCTACTCTTACCCCGTCTAGAACCGTGTGCATTGCATTGGGTATAGATTCCTTCGCTGGCTCAAACCCAAGATTATATGCGCAGGGACAAATGAGCATCGCGCAATACTACAGTGGGGGTCCAAAAGTATGTGACCCCCTATACATAAAGGTACCCAGTGGCTCTATCTTCCTGGTACGAGAAGCTAGGTATCTTTATGTACAGGGGGTCACATACTTTTGGACCCCCACTGTACCAGGATCTCACTCAGGTGGGACCCGAGACATGGAGATCAACCATGTTCTAGCTTTTCAGGGACTACGGCTGTCTTGGCACAATAAAAAGAATTTGATCTTATGGTCGATTTAGGCAGGCTATGCCATTTTACAAGTGACCGTTTCGTCTCAGAGAGCGTGTGTCGACCCGCCCTGAATCGTGCACGGGAGCAAAGAGTCTGTTGATGGTTCAATGAGTGCTGCCAGGAAGTCAGGCGCAGTGTACTCTATACCTGTTGGCGCTAGAGGGATTTGTTCTTCTCGATAGACCCCGGTAGGGGATTCAACCTTTGGATATAAGAGTAAGTCTGCAAAATATAGTATCACAGCAGGGCCCGAAGCTTTATAAAAAAAAAAATAAAAAAAAAAGACAAACACCTTATTCGTTGACAATTTGAGTAGCTTGAAGGTTAGTTAGATGCATGCAGCATTTAGTCTCATTGAAGTAATAGGGACTTTGCTGGTTATAAACGAGAGAGCCTCAGCACAGAGCTACCTCAAGAGCAATCTGACTATCAACAGGCAAGTTCTACATTTGCGTCTTGCAAGTAGTTATCCTAGTTTCAGTTGCTATACATCTGAAACATAGAGTAGCCTTAGGTCTGAGGTCCTCAGCTTATAACTTTGCTCTTATGCCCATTTTTAGCCGACTCGCTCGCAACGAATTTAGATATATAGCACTAATTTGCAGCACGGGTGCTTAGGATTATTTACACTTATATACAGAAGCTAAAAGAAACCGCTACGCCACTATTCCACTATAAGTTAGAGCTAACCAGCTTGATCAAGAGCATACTCTGTGTGCGGCTCGGGAAAACAGACTAGGTCCGGTATGGAAAGACATGCAAGGTGGGCGAGCTCTTGTTTTCTTATTCAGAGTCCAAGTCCTCAAGCGATAATAGCTCTAAATATAAGGCAACTTCCTATGTTAGGGAGCTTCTGAACGGACCTGGACGAACGTCGATTAGGTTCAAGTTGTGTACAGATAGCACTATGTGAAAATGAAATATACATCGCACTAGCATATATTGTTGGGTTTGTGACTAGGCATTGACTTCAACAATTACAGACATAACATGCACGGATGGATTATTATGAAATTAATGTAACTAATGTCCTGCCTAATTACTAAATGAAGAAGAGCTTGGGTAGTGCAAGACACATATAGAGGCCCTCTCACGTGCGGGAGCCGTTGAAGTGCCGATTTCACCCATCCGTGGGCAAAAATATATACAATCTACTTCGGTGTAAAGAATACTAGTATGCTCCGTAGTAAGGAAGGAAACGTATCCGGGGACATCATATATCGATAGTGATCAATGCTTCTGATCATGGGAGGCAAGCACCCATACCTTTATAAGCAATAAGCACGGTTAGATTTCAGACAAGACATGCTCAAGCTTTTGAAGAGTCTTTAGACAATTGTTCTCGAGAACCGACTGAGATGCGACCCGCAGAGACACTCGCGCTAAACCCAAAGTAGCGTACCCTGGAGTTCTAATTTAATCCCCACGAGGAATGTGGAAGTCAATTTAGGTTTTTATCACTAATTATGTTCGCTATCACTAGAAATATGAATTAACTATGCCCACTACTACTCCGGACGTAGTAGTACTTGTATGACCTTGAGGGGTGCGTGGTACTCTTTACGGTACAGTACGGTATTCTGGTCCCACCCAATCTAGTTTGAGATTCTTTAAGGGAGAGTCCAAAGTTAATGTCAGTCTGAGTATAGAAATGCCTCAATTCCCACCCCCACGAGGTAGAAGAGATTTATCAGTGTGATGAAAACGACCAGACAATCATCTCTAGCAGTTGCTAGTTTCAATTGCCACAATGTGACTGAGACAAGGTGAGAATAGTGTTGCTCACAATATCTTTCGGTTCTGAATCACATTCACAAGAGATAATACCACGACAGGTAATTTTTGGTAGCTCTTGGAAGCACCTCCAAGAGGTGGGACGGTCTCTATCAAAAAAGGTTGGTGGGCCGCGCTAAGAAACAAGACAGAATATTACATCCAAGAATAATCTCCGGTTACCGGCTAACCCTCAGACAACCCATACGCCATTGTGCAGCGGCTTCTCTGGGATGATGCCTTTTCATAGGATTGCTGAGCCGGAGGATGATTTCATCTATTTCCAATTAGGCATATCAGCAGACTCATGGAATTATAATCCTCCCTAATATTGAAGACTTATTATTGCGGCTATCGTTAATTAATTCTCTTGTTCTGTAGGTATGGTACAGTATCTTTACTCGGTACAGTAACTGTACTGATCGATACCGAGTTTGGATGGATACCTACAAGTGGAACGGCCCCAGGGGACACCGAGTATTTACCTTATAAATCTGATCGTGAGATTTGAGGAACTAAAGAGGGTGTTCCAGTACTCCAGGGTAGTTCTACCTACAATGAAGGAGTATTTAGTGACTTTAAACCAACATATGAATTACTTTTCCTTTCCCGGAGTAGGGAGATGAGAATAGCAGGTGACCAGACGGGGTTAAGGAGAGATGGTGAGTGTTCACAATAATATTTACCAAAAAAAAAAAAAATGGGGACCGGGAAGAAGCGATTCAACAAGCCGAGTCTCCATCACCAACCAGAACAAGCCAAATCCATCCGATGCCCACCCTACTCTTTTTATTGTTAATAATAATTTTGTGTTTCTTGGGACTGGTGGATTGATTGTGTGTTGTGGTGTGGACGAGAAAGTGTGTTTTTGTGTGCTTCTCTCCCAAGGTGTGTGTGGTAATTTTTCTTCTATTTGTCTTTTAATTTCCAATCTTTTTGAATTCATTTTCCTTTTTTTCAAAGGGTGATACCTATTTTTCCTTTTCGAGTCTGGAGCGTGCCCAAACTCAGTAATACTGTACAGTAATTCGAAAAACAATCTTTATCTTTTCTTATCCCCCGGTCAAGAAAAAAAAAGAGAGACCGAGAAAGAGACAGAGAGACCGAGATAATCACGCTTTTTCCTCTCTTTCCTTTTCTCCCCCTCTTTCTTGTCCCCTCACGGCCCCAGTCCAGTCCAGTCCGATTCAAGTCCAAGTTTCTTTGGCTTGTCGCACCTGCTCTGTTACCCGACCACTTCCTCCTTTACCTTCTCTCGTCTTCCTTCCCTCTTACCCTCCCCTCCCCCGGTCTACTCCTCCTCCCTTTTCACACCTTCTCAGTCCCTTTGATTTCCCCACGCCAGACTCTTCGTCTGTCGTGCCTCTAGGGTGAGAAGTCGCTGTCTATTCCTACCCTTCTGCCTCGTTCACTCGTGGTAGAGCCGTCCGGACTTTTTGTTGGGAGGACAATCACTCCTTTTTTGTAAGTCCACTTCCCTACCGAACAACGCACTGGCATTTGGGGCTGCGCAAGTCAACCTCCCAGAAGATTTTCCTTTTTTTTTTT